TGACAACACAGGAGAGGGCGAAGAGAATGTTGACGCTATTGCTGGGGGTGCCGGCGTTTTGGGCTTGATCCAACAATTTCAGAGGGTAAATAAGGACAGTCGAGGACGCACGGCGGTTGGTTTATAGACATTTGCATGCAATTTGAGACAGGGTAGAATTTATGATTTATTTGATTGTCAATGCTAGTGATATTCTCCCAGCGTCTTAATCTGACCTCGGATTGCTTGCAACGAGGTCCGTCTGTAGTACTCTGTAGTATGTGCAGTTCTAAAGTACATGGTTATATACCAAAAAAGTATCAAGTATGAGCAATACTGGCGTCGAATCAGCCACCTAGTATTATTCGGTCAGTCGTCAATTGTTCAAGTACGCCGTAGATACTCCGTACGTCTATGTCTGCCTTTGGACTGATATCCACAGATACAATCCTTGTCATGGTTTAATGCAAACTACCCCTGGATAAAAATAGAAACAGACGAATCATGATTCATGAAGGACTGAAGGACCCATCTGGCACAGTGGCAACGATCATTAGTATCTCTTTTCAGTAGTCGGTGATGGGTCAAATAAAATGAGCATTGAGGATTGGTAGTGGGTCGAACTATCAGATCACAACTTCGTCGCAGAGATGTATTCTATTTGAATATGGTGGACTTGATTATTATCATGTAGTCTACCATATCTATGTTGATGCCCTGTAGGTATTATTGTAGGACCACCCCAGTTGTAGATAGACGTAAAAGGCTGGGATCATCGGATCTGGATCCATCCATTTGGGCAGCATCCACGGGCTAATCTCGCCCATTCCACTCAGTCGAAAAGTCTGGACTCGGGCCGCTGATCATTTGGGATGTTGATCCGGGGTCCTTGCGACATAGGATCTCATATCACGGACACAGAAAGGCGTCCAAGGGTGGATGTTGAGGGAGAGCGAAAGCACTCAAGGAGACTACAGTCGGATCCATTATTGTGTGCAAGTACTGGAATAGACCAGATACGCCGAGGATTGGAGATCTTTGCTTCAAATTTCCGTCAACCTAGTGTGTCTGACTTTGCCCTATATGTTGGGCGGTTTCTTGGCTGCTACATCCGTTGGTTTCGCTTCTTTTCCACCCTCCTTGCTTCCACTAAGCAGATAGACTAGTCTAGTCTATCAATTTTCTTGATTCCTAGGCGAGAGCTGATGTTAGGAGGATTGCCATGACATTAATTGATGTGATATGATCATTTCGACGGTTCAGCCCCGAGAGTGCCTGCTTACGGTTTCTATTCTTCTGTTCGACCTCAGAGAGGAGTAGAATGATTGACCTTTACAGCTCGGTTCCTCCAGCCTCTCGCTCAGTTTGTTGATTTGTTTATTCTTGTGAAACTTTCTTTTTCTTCTGGCTCCGAGGCCTTTCCTTGGTGCCTCGTGATCGCATCATTATTCCTGTCACTCTTTTATCTCTCTTGTGTTGAGATTTTGATTTTTCCTTGTCTTCGTTGCGTCGCCTCACCGTCGCTATCAGTTGCCCGCCATGTTTCGAGCCCGTCGCTATCGAGTCTCGCTGGTATTTGCAGTCATCTTCGTGCTGATCTTCGTTCATTTCTCCCGATCCCGCGATACATCCGCAAGTACTGTGAGCGTCCCCGCGCTTGTCGATCAGCCCAAGACGCACCCTCAGAATCCACCCCCTGCTGCTCCCAACAACAAAGAACCCATCGCACCCGAATCTTCCACCTCCCATGAGGCCACATCCGAGTCAGTTTCTACCCCGGCTCAGCAAGTCGAGAAGCCCGCTGCTCCCGACTCGAAACCCCAGCCGGATCTTAAATCCGATGCGCACGGCCAAGCATCGTCCAAGGATGGTTCGGTCGCCGATCAGACCAAACCATCATCCAGTGACAATAATTCTGCCAAGGGAGACGGTTTAGAAGTACCCTTATCCGAATTGGACTATCACGGCCACGCACGAGTCGAGGTGGACTTTCCCGAAACGAATCGACCTACCGTGCACTGGAAGCAGGTGCAAGAACATTATCCTCTGGCGCCCGAAGACCTCATCAAGTTGCCGACCGGTAAATCCAAGGCACTGCCCAGAGTGCAGGCTGTTTTCAGAGATGAGACGACCTCCGACAAGATACAGCGGGTGCAGCGGTTGTCGACCATCAGGGCGTCCTTTGAACACGCCTGGAATGGATACAAGACTTCTGCGATGGGACATGACGAGATCAAACCTCTACGGGGCGGATTCAGGGACCCGTTCATGGGATGGGCAGCCACGCTGGTGGATTCCTTGGATACTCTTTGGATCATGGACCTTAAGGACGAGTTCGCCATTGCCGTTGATCAGGTGAAGAAGATCGACTTCACAACTAGCAAGAGGGACGAGATTCCTGTATTTGAAACGGTCATCCGCTATCTTGGAGGATTGCTCGGCGCGTATGATATTTCGGGTCACAAATACGACGTACTCCTCGAGAAAGCCGTTGAGCTGGCGGATATCGTGATGGGTGCTTTTGATACGCCTAATCGCATGCCGACCATGTTCTACAAATGGACCCCGTAAGGCCTCACTTTGCGATCGTCCGAGTGTTTTGAAGACTGACTGATAGGTGAAATGACAGGCACGATGCTGCTAAACCTCATCTAGCTGATTTTGACACGACCCTTGCGGAAATAGGCTCGCTCTCTGTCGAGTTCACTCGACTGGCACAGTTGACTAAGCAAGACAAGTACTACGATGCCATTGCACGGATCACCAACGAGCTCGAGAAACTGCAGGGTCAAACCATGCTCCCTGGTCTGTGGCCGCTCAAACTTGATGCTTCTGGTTGCGGGACTGCCGCCTCACAGCTCAATTACGAGGTCCCTCGCGATGATGTGGTGGATACCGAGACGTCTGCCTTATCGCCTGCACCTCTGCATTCGCCCGCATTCTCCTCTGCAGCTCCCTCCGCATCTTCCTCCGCACCTTCTTCCTCCCCTTCTTCAGCATCTTCTTCCACGCCTCCCTTACCTTCCTCAACGCATACACCTTCCCTAGCGCAAAACGAACGGCCGTTGCCATCAGACGCACAGAGCTACGCCAAATTCTTTGATCGGCGCGATGGTGGTAGCTTACATATCGACGCGGAGCCGGCGAACTATGACGACGCCCCGAACGAAGGCGCGAATTCTGTAATCTCTGTTAACTCCGGAGATAAGGCCTGCACAGGAGGTCTCGCCGCGCGGCCCTCCTCGAAACACAAGTTCGGGCTCGGTGCCCGCGGCGATTCAACCTATGAGTACCTTCCCAAGGAGTACATGATCTTGGGCGGTCTCAACGAGCAATACCCCGCAATGTACAAGAAAGCCATGAACGCAACGCGCGAACGTCTCCTCTTTCAGCCCATGGTTAAAGACGAGCGTGATATCCGATTCTTGAGCACCATGACCCTGACGCACCCTATAGCGGAACAGGTCCCTGACAGCGTCTCTGTAACCTACGAGGGAACTCATCTGGGCTGCTTTGCGGGTGGGATGTTTGCTCTTGGTGCCAAACTATTTGGTATTGAGGGGGATCTAGACCTTGCTGCTAAACTGACCAATGCGTGTATTTGGGCTTATGGGGTCACCAAAACGGGCATCATGCCCGAACACTTCTTGCTTGTTCCCTGCGAAAAGGGTGCGCCGTGTGTCTGGAACGAGACCAAGTACTGGAATGCACTCGATCCTAACGAAGGACAGCGGATCGCGGACGCAGAAAAAGCCATCGAGCAGAAATCGAAAGACAGCGACTCGACTGAGCAATCTGCTACAAGCGGGATCCATAGGCGTGACTCATCTGGAAAATGGCACGTCATCGCTGATTCGGCAACTACGGACGACCTGATCAACCATGACGAAGAGGAACTCAAGAAGCAAGATGCCAAGGATAAAGCTGTCCCTCATGAAGTATATGTCACCCAGCGAATCATGAACGAACGCCTACCGCCAGGCGTTACTCGCATTCTGAACCGCGCATACCTCCTTCGTCCGGAGGCCATCGAGTCCGTATTCTACATGTTCCGCATAACAGGCGACAACTACTGGCGAGAGAAGGGCTGGGAGATGTTCCAAGCTGTGTCCAAGCACACCCGCACCGAAATCGCACATTCTGCTATCAACGATGTCACCCTTGAAAAGTCCAAGAAGCGGGATACCATGGAGTCATTCTGGCTTGCCGAGACGCTGAAATACTTCTATCTTCTCTTTGCTGACCCGAGCGTGGTCAGTCTTGACGACTATGTTCTGTAAGTGCTCGCCAGCAACTCTTGCTAGAGGCATAACTGACTCTTCTCGTAGCAACACCGAAGCTCATCCCTTGAAACGTCCGGCCTATTAACGGCCTTTCCTTTTTCCTTTTTAGGGTATATATTTCCCTTCATATGAATTCTTTTTTTGATGTAGAAATATCGATACCATCTCCAAAGTACATGACATTTTCTTTCCAGTGGCTGGCTTGCTACGCCTGATTATGTTTCCTCCTTCGTTCATTACCCTTATTGCACCAATTTAATGTTTGACTTAATGTGTACATATATGGCTGGAAGATTTTCAAATGAAAGCGATGACGAATCATAATGAGCGTGGTGGCTCTGATACGCGATCTACGAGGAAAGCGTGGAGGAAATGACAATTGAAGTAGCCGTAATGAGCCTGAATTATCAGCCTCATTCATACCCCTGAAGCGGAAGCCTTCTCATCAAAAGCCGTACATCGTAGGAATATCCTGCGCTCTGCATACCATGAAGTACAGTAAAGCACTCCGGCAAAGATAGCGGTGGATCGCCGCAAATCCCCCGCCGCCCGCCTTGTTCGCCCTGCCTTGGCCACATTCGTCGTCATCAACATTATCGCTTGGTACCCCAGTTTCCCTTTGTGGTTTCCAGCCTCCTCGCACGGAGCAGCCCTCCCAACCAGAGGTTTCCGGGCACGAGACGGGATGAGTGCAGTGAGACGACTAGTCCGACGACGACGACGATCGAGCTGTGGGAAATGGAGTTTGAGGTCTCCCTGGAGAACGAGCAGCAGTTCTGGGACGGTGAGTTTGTTTGGTTGGCTGGTTGGTCGATAACCAGAATTTCTACCTATTTCCTCATGCTTTACTTTGCTCTCCTTATCTCAGGGAGTTGTTAGTCGTGCCTAATGTGTTTGTTTGGTAGAAATCCAAGAGATAGTTTCCACTCCTTGCAGCACCGAGGACCTCATCGATAATGCGCTCCGGTCTTATTTGAGTTTGGCCACGAAGTACAAAGGTGGGAGACTGTTCTTTGATCTTGACGGCAGCATGGATTGAAACCAAGCTTCCATGATTTCTCCGATCTGATGGAAAGCTGACTTGACTTTGGCAATTGCAGATGAATACCTCAGTTCGCCGTTCGAGGTCTCGCGCTGCTCGTACAAATTACTCGCATCGAGTATTTTTACCGCCCATGCGGACTACGTTCGAAGACAGATGATATATGGCTTATTACAGGTATGCGCTGGATGATTTCCGTCCATCCAAGGGCTTCGTGTCCCTTTGTTCTGTCTTACAACCGGGCCTGCTGACGGTTTCCGACGGTTTATAGGAGGATGATCCGGACACGCTACATCTGATCGTTTCGTTCCTTCTGTTCGATGGCCGGCAGCATGAGGAGTCCTTTCGGATGATGAATGAGGAGGGTTCATTTCCGCGATTGCTGGAGCTCTTGCAAGTCTACAAAATAAAGGATGGGGGGAATCAGGCTGCGCTTCATCGCATGCTGATGGACTTGCTGTATGAGATGTCGAGAATCCAACGGATAAGAATTGGGGATCTTGGTGAGTGTTCCAGGTGGCTTCGCTGTCTGGAGCAGTCGGCTAATAGGCAACGCATTCTGGGTAGTGCTTGTCGACGATGACTTTATCAAGGGACTCTTTGAGATTATCGAAGATCTCTCCTACGACGCCAGCGACCCCTACCATTATCCTGTGATTCGCGTTTTGGTGAGGATTTGCTTGATCTGGCCCTGCAGGTTTGGAGAATCTTACTGACTCGAACGGTAGCTGGTCTTCAACGAGCAGTTCATGATTTCAGCGCATGATCCTGTGGACGATAAATCGTCGACTCCGTTGACCAATAAGGTCATCAAGGTCTTAGCCATGCATGGGAATCTCTATAAGACATTCGGCGAGAACATCATTCTCCTCATCAACAGAGAAGGTACCAACCTCCGAGATACTCCTCTGTCATGACAAATTTTCTAACAACTCCTAGCGGAGACATCTCTTCAGCTTCTCACACTCAAGCTTCTGTACCTCATATTTACAACCCCTAGCACCTATGAATACTTCTACACCAATGATCTTCATGTCCTGGTTGACATTCTTATTCGAAATCTTCTGGACTTGCCTGAAGAGGCGTCCGCCCTACGACATACATACCTCCGCGTTCTCTACCCATTGCTCGCTCACACGCAGCTGAAGTATCCTCCCCACTACAAGCGCGAAGAACTCAAGAAGGTGCTCAATATTTTGGGCCGGGGCCAGCTATCGAGCAGTGAGGGCGACCTCGAGCGGATATTGCACTTTGAGGAAGTGGACGAAACCACGAGGAGATTAGTCCTCCGATGCGCGGCAGTCGAGTGGTTGCGAGACGAGGAAGCTGAGTCACATAGAGAGAGCGTTGCCTCGTTTGATTCCGCGACCGATGCCGTCCAGACGGACGCGGAGTCTGGTACTCCCACCAGCACGGAAGGCAGTTCGCCTGGGGCTCTATCACCCACCCGGCTTGTTGGATCGGACTCTCCCAAGCCAGACGCGCATCGCAAGCCGAGCGAGATGCAGCGCCTCGGAATGGACTTGGAGCCAGCTTCATGCTCGACTATCAGCGTGCAGGAAGTTGCCAGCCAGCACGAGAAACCCGGTGTCATCACCCCTAGTCGCAATGGCGCACATCCCACAGGGAATGATTCAACTACAGACGCTGTCAGGGCGACCATCAGACCCAAAATCAAGCCAGAGCCCCCCAAATCCCGACGCCGGCGCGGGAGACGCATCACTGAGGAGGAAGACAATCCCGATAAAATCCCCGAGGACGCAGCATCAGCGGCATCGAGTCCAGTCATGGCTTCCACATCTCTCGCTCCCCCAGTCGATCGCAGAAACTCTACAAGCATGTCCGGTCTCGCTCCCCCGGTCCCCGCGCACTTACGTCGCTCTGTTTCGAATCCTCCTCCAGCCCTGCCGCCCCCTCGACGTTCGACTCACCCCCATCCTCTTTCTGGCGACTGCAGCCCTGTAAACAGCAGTCCTCTGAACGTGGCGTCTGTCGGCAAACACGGCCAGAAACCTGAGCCACCGAGGGCACGCCGCTGGGCGAGAGGAAAGCACGCACATGGTGACTCTGCGGACAGGTCCGGGAAGGATTTGCCAATGAACGGTGAAATTTTACCCGAGTCGTCGGCTGAATCGAACGGTGCTGAACGTGTTTGTGAGACAGTGAGTGTGGAGGAGGCGGTTCAAAAGGTGTCGCTGGAGTCTTGATCATTTCGGGCAACGAATCTACGTACAAAGCATACTCTTTTGCATCGTGTGTCAGCGAACAGAGATACCTTTTTGTTTTTGTTGTCCTTACACATACCCATTATGCGGAGGAGGCTGCCGTCTAGGCTAGCCAAGGTTTCGGCGATCAGTACGATTCAATTTAGCGTTCCATAACTCATCATATGACTCTGCTATTCAGTATGTACCAGAAATGTACATGACAAGAAAGGAGAGAAGTATCCATAATCGCAGATTAAAGCATCAATCAGATTGAACCATGAACTCATCAAGTCAATACCCGACCCCACGCCATGCGCATGCAACGCTATACAAAGCCATGCAAGGTGCCCATGCAGTGCAACGCAACTCAACGCAACGCAGATAGAAACGCCATCAGCTAATCCTCTCGCAAGAGCAAAGAATCATAGCACAGCGCAGCGCAGCGTAGAACGCCGGAACCCTTCCCTTACTCGCGCTCCCGCTCCCACCCACTATCCTGAATCCCCCAGAACCGCTCCGCGCCAAACGTCCACGCATTATCCGACTTCCACAAGTCATCGAACGCAGTGAAGAGGACAAAGTCCGGATCGTCCGCAAACGCCCGCCTCAGACTCGCAATGGCTTTCTTCTGGTTCTCCGGCGACGGCACCGCCCGCCCATTCGGCTGGCCCGCATGAGGCCACCCAGACTCCGTAATGACCGTTTTCTTCCCGCCCGCCACGGCGGAAATGCGTCGCGCCTTGTCGATGGCGTACTCGCCCGCGTTCTCGGGGAGCTGGCTGTTGTCGAAGAAGGCGTGGCAGTTGGCGGCGCAGTAGTCGGACGCGGCGCAGAGTTCCGGGTGCTGCAGCATCACCGAGAAGGTGTCGACCGTTACCACGGGGCCCTGGTACCCTGCGCTGCGGAGGATGGTGCGGGCGGTGTTGACGGCGTTGGCGACGTCGCTGGGGTTGTTCTGGCCCTTGTTGACGAGCTCGTTGCCGATGGCGATGGTGTGGAAGACGGACCAGTCCCCGCCTGCGGCCTCGCGGATGTAGTGCAGGCTGTCTGGGAAGTTTTGGAGGTCGAACACGCCTGCGAAGACTTTCAGGCCGTGCTGTCTGGCTGCTTGGGTGACGAGCTTGGTCTGGTCGCAGTCGATGCCGTAGATGCGGATGAAGGCGTGGTGGCGCAGCTGCTCGATGTCCTGGTTGATCTGGTCGAAGGTCTTGCAGGTGCCGTAGCTGGTGTAAGGCGAATAGGATATGCCGAAGCGAGGGTGAGAATTTGTGTTCAGGTCGAGCTCTTCGACGGGGAGACCGGGGAAGAGATTGTCGGGGAGGATATCGCCGGTGTTTGGGAGCAGAGGCAGCTCGGTGGGCGGCTGTCTCGATCTCAGTTATAGTTTCAGACAGGTTATACAGAGGATCAATTGCAGGTAAAACATACGTTCTTGGAGATCGTAGTAGGGGTCTGATGGGTATGCTCAATACTGATTGTGTGTCCAGCGCGATCGACCCAGACGATAACTTGCTCCTTGGGATTGTTGTCGTGCTCGGCGTTGCGACGATGGCCAACTGATATGGTATCTACTAGTCAGCAACGTCTTCGACACTCAAAGGTGTGTTGCGTTGAAAATATCTTACCATGAGGGTGCGCTGCGGACTGGTAGGCCAACAACAGGGCCAGAAGGTTGACCTTGAATCTCATTGCGACGGTCAATCACAGTCCTCGCGTTGAATCCCCCTCAGCACAATCCAAGAGACGGTAGAACCGAACAGAATGATCTAGTCAGTCAGACTAATGAAGGAGTAGAGATTGCGAGGCCAGGCCCGGACTGTGGGCTTAAATACCCTGGCTACAGATGCACATTCACTGCCAGAGAGTCAGTCATAGAACCATCAGAGGCGTAGTGAATTAATGTCCACTTACTCTAGATCTTTAGTGGTGAAATTCATCATGGATTCAGTGATCAGTGAAGGCATGCTCTTAAGTACCAGTACTACACTTGCCTCTGCGGAATGCAGGGCCCATACCTTGCCAAACCCCTCATACAAAAAGAATGTGCTAGGACCCTGGTTTGATAGCATATTCCTCAGGGGCTGTAACTGCAAGACAGTAGCATGACCGACATGCTCTGCCTTGGTTCTCCTTCATAGGGTTGTCGAAGCTCTTGGAAAAAGTGAAAAGTAGTCCTCTTGTCTCAACCAGTACCAAGGGAGACTTCCCTGGCATAACCCTTCGACACTCAATCTTTGACCGACATAGGGCAGATGTATAAACGTGATTTTTCTGATAATTATGTAGATTTAAAGACCATCCTAAAGGATACAGGCTTTACAATTGTTGACGTTTAGTGACGTCAAGAAGGGTAGGAAGGGAGAACTAGGGAGGTTGTACGTTGCGTTTAGGGAATTAGGGTAGGAACCCGAGGCATTCATCTTTACAATCCAGATAATAGTATCCCAAGGTGGTGCTATATGTCTTAATACTATAAGATGGTGTTTTTTTAAGCCATTAGGACACGATACGAGATTCTGAATTATGAATAATGACTTTGAACTTGGTAGGAGCCAGTATCTCGTGAAGCTTCAAGGCTATTCATATTGTTGAAAGGGCGGACAATTACCGGCATAATAGCTATGTGACCCTTGTTTCTTCTATTCTACCTTATGTTACTCTGGATCTCTTAATTTTCATTACGTCTACAGAATGGTCGATTATTGTTGGAGAGAATACCGTTTTATCCCCTTGTATTAAAAGCATAAGTCTAAAGATGCTGAGAGTGAACACACAGCAAGGCCTAATTATAAACAATTGACAAAGCAGTCTTCCATGCACCACAGGTGTCATTACGCCCGTTCCCCTCGTATGAGGTTGGCGGGGAAAATGGCCCGATTGTTCCAAACTGCTTTGCCGGAATGAGGTCGATGGCTGCTGTACGCATCCATCATAATGGTGTATTGTACACAAAGCTGAGAGTAGGAGTGTCACAAGACAGGAGAAAGACGCCCGAGAAGTCACGGCGATGTAGGTCAATTACGAAGCGATCGAGGTCATGACAGCATAAGAGTTTCGGATTGAGCCCGTTGAGAAAGAGATATGGGCGAAGAAGTGATCTACTTTCTCTTGCTCACCACCTTCGTGATAGCATGGCGAATTATCGTTCCGGCCTTTTCGATTTCCTTTCTCGTCAAGCCGGTGGTGACACACACCTTGAGCGCTGGAGGAACAATTTGCTTCGGCTGAAAGTTATCATCCAGAGACTTGAGACGGCTGATAAGGACACCATTTGCAAGGCACTAGTAGAAAGTCAGTTCTCATTGAATCCCATGACAGCTGGGAAGCGCTCAGATCCGAGATTGCATACCTCGTCAACCACATCCTGCAGCAAGAACTGCTGGTCTTCCGCAGTAAGTCTCTTCGCGGCCACCACCTCGGGTTTGAGAACAAGGATCATAACGGGATTCTCAGGGGCGCTGGTACAATACACCCAATCGCTGCGAGGATCCAACTGTGCCCACATAGCTTTGGTATGCTCCCTCAGCTGCGATACCAGTTCGGGGCCATTCTGAAGCAAGTTGATCGTTGCACTGGCTGTGGTCGATAGAAGGGCAGGCAATGCCGCTGAGAATGTATATGCGGCGGCAGAGATCCGTTGATGATGGACAATTTCCTCAGAACCAGCACAGAAACCGCCTCCAGCGACGAGTGGGCCGGCCAGCGAGCCCACAATCATATCAACTTCTGCCGCATCGACGTTTTGGTGCTCGGTGACGCCTCGGCCGGTTCTTCCCAAGACGCCAAATGACCAAGTTTCGTCAAGGATGAGTCGGAATTTGTACTTTAGTTTCAGTTCAATCTTCACCTCTCTGTCAGACTGTGCCATATATTCTCATAGCCGGGGGAAAAGGGAACAGTCACGTACGATTTTGGGAAGATCAACCATGTCACCATACGATTCAAAAAGGCCCTCGGTGATTATGAACCTTCTCGTGAGGGGCTTTCTCGCTTGCTCTTTGCTGACCTTCGCAAGAACTCTTTCCAAGTCTTCCATATCATTATGCTCATACCACCGGACCATGCTGCGCGAAATCTGAATACCCTTCCGAATGGCGAAATTGACGCCCTTGTCGGCAACAATGATATCTCCACGCTTCGAAAATGCCGGGATAACGCTCGATATGGTAGAGAATGCCTGTGAGTAGATGATGCAGGCTGCTGTGCCGAGATAGGCAGCAACATCTGCTTCCGTCTTCATATGTACATCTTGAGTGCCGTAAAATCCTCGGGGACCACAAGGGCCCACTCCGTAATTGCGAAGCGTCTGGATTGCCTTTTCCTTGAGACCCTCGTTTGTATTAAAGTTATAGAAGTTGAAAGAACCAAGATTCATCACCGTGCGACCGTTGGACAGTTTGGACTTGGGCCCGATTGGACTGTAGACCATCAAACATCAGCATCGCAGAGACAATTAAAATGAGAGTGAGCATACCCAACAATCACTGTCCGCTTCTCGACCTCCATTTCCTCCAGAGCGGTGGGCTGTCCCACAAGAGGCTCCGGCATCCATTCGTCCACGAGGTCATCAATCTCATCCTCGGAAAGTTTGACGACTCCGGGTTTCGTTGAGTACTTTGGTGCAAGCAGATAGCGAACGGCGAATAGGAAGAGGAACAATTCAACGGCGGATCGGATCGGATCATTCTGATAGCTCGATTTCACGTATCGCAGGAAAATTGCAGATCCTGGTAGCCGGTGAAACAGATTTGCGAGCTCATGGAGGTATTCCGAAAGGAGACGTTGGGTCTCCTGGATATCCATGATGAACGGAAAGAACGCGGCCTTCGGGGCGCAAGGCCAAAGTTTGAGCTTCAGGAAACGTAGATTGATGTAATCATTCACGGGCAGTTGCAGCGAGCAATAATAATACTGTCGGCAGATGAGGGACTATCTGAGGAAACGCAACGAAAGATGAGCCGTCGGTTTGGGATATCCAGTCAGGACGATCGGCGAAACACGTCGAGCACGTGATGTACCTAAATGTTTCTTTCTCAGGCAACGACACCACAAATAATGACACTACTATGGTAACTAGGTCCTATTTCCAGATGCTGAAAATCAGGAATTGTATCTCGAAGTACCAGCCTATGATATTTCTGTTTCTATCTTTGGCGATGGTCGCCACAAGAGGCTGTCATTGTAAGCCGGCAATCTAATACGGGGTAGCGACATCTGGACCCTGGGAACGAAGCTGAATATCATGCATGATACCCTAAGCAAAGTACTACCTCGATAATGCAGTTTATGATGAATCTTCTGTATTGATTTCAGGGTCCTCGAAAGCAACTAGACAGTAAACAAATTGAACAGTGAAAAACAGCGACTTTATGCGGCTCAGCGACTTCGAGGCGCTGGATACTTTATACAGCTCGTGTTCATGATGCCATTTCTGCAAAAAAAAAATTTAAAAAGCAGGCGAACAGAGAGGGTCGAGAATTAAAAAAAAAAAAGTTACAGCGACTTCTAGCTCGTTGCAGTGGCCGCGCTTGAGGAGCTCTCGACTGGCTCAAAACCAGCGGGAATATTGTTGCCGGTGTATGTCACCATAGTGTCGTTGTTGTCCTTGTCAAGAGGCTGCATCAAGCCACTGATGGGAATGCTGAGATTTTTAGCCAATCCCATGGAACGAGCAATAAGTGGAGCAATGAGAAGGACAAGGAATAGAACGAGCATCGCGAAGTAGAGAATAGCAAAGCGGATGACTCTTCTTTTCCTGAGCTTCGATTGCTTGAGGGAATAGATTGGAGGGCGGATTTGGCGACTAGAGCAGTGTTAGACAAGATGCAATCCAATATCGTTGTTTAGAGTGTTCCTTACCTTGGCCGCAGCCAGAAGAGCATGACCGAGTGGAATTTGTCAATGAATGGGACGCAGAGGGCGGGCAGCATAGCGAACAAGAGTATGTGACCCAAAACGAAGTCTGCAGAGAAGTATCCCAACTCCGTAATCTTGCACAGGAACTCACGGCCAGGTTGAGACATCGAGTGCCAACCCATGCTGTACCACTTGCCGGTCCACCATGCGATATTAGATTGGTCGTGCTTGAACTCGCGAGTCAATGCAAGGGCAATGATGAGCTTGTAGATAAAACGCTGAATAGCCGCCGCTGCAATCATGCCCATGAGGGTTCTCGGCCAGGACCAAGCCTCAAGGAAGAACATGACTTCGAAGATGGCGAGCAATGCAATGACGGCTATAGCGTGCGCAATGGCGGCGAGAACAGCACCGAATTTCTTGCAGCACATGCTGAAGATGGGCCCCATACAGCAAGCCATGCCGAAGAAAGCACCAGCAACGCCTGCATTGATGCCGATTGGTCCAGCGGCAACAATGGCAATTCGCATGATGGCATCCATAGCTTCCTTTGGGTCACCAGTTTTTCCAGTTCTGGAGTTGATGTAGAGATAGGGAACTAGAGTCACAGCAACAAGTACCAGGGGTGCCACAATCTCGCTGAAGAAAATGTTGGTGATACGAGCCCTGGGAACATCGCCGGAACCCTTTTCAGATGGCACACCCAAAAGCTTGCGCTTGTAACCCGTGATCCGAGTACGAGACAGACGACAGAATCCGATCCAAGAAGATGCGTGTGAGCGCGAATTACCACGTGAAAGCCACCTGAGATAATCGCGGTAATCAATGAAGAAATCATTCCAGGCGAACTGGTGGGGGTTGAACAAGAACGGCGAGATGCAGAGGGCGAGCAGAGAGACCCAGAACCAAATGAGAGCCGCCGTCCAGACGGTGGACGTCGCGAACAGAAGCATAAGCAGCGAACGCGCGCCAGCGTAGATGGAGGGACCTGCAAAACGCGAGTATAAGACACCAAAGGGAATGCGGGCCGTGGCGAAGCCACGACCAGTACCGATATATCGCGCACCGCCGAAAGAAAGGTTCTGGTGGACAGCGTTGGCATAGATCTGGCAGACAAACACCTCGAACATGAAGGAGACGGAACCGAAGTGTTTGGCTAGACGCATGGCCATCCGCCATACTCCCCTCTCTGTCAGTTCCTGTACGGCCAGTGGGACGAAAGAGATGAAGAAGACGATGAAGATCGAGATGATACAACGGTTGACCCAGTCGACGATCGGGGTGAGATTGGCACAGTAAGTTGGTCGAAGAGGATCCGTGATCGGCAAGTCAGGGTTGTAACGGCAAGTGATGGTCTCGTGCTTCAGAGCTCCCAGGTTGATTAGGACAATCATGAACATCTGCACCGACAACATGATAAACATATTGTTAATGTGGAAGCCAGGGTGAGCATAGTAAAATGACAGGAAGCGGTCGAGAGGCAATTGAGTGCCGAGATAGTAGTACTCTCTGGACAACATCTGCTCGCCCATACCCGTACCGATCTTGGTTGTGAAGTTCAAAATGGAGCCAAAACCAAGATCACGACCTTTACCACATTGGTAGTACTCGCAGTGCTTGATGCGACCACCACGGATCATGGCAGTCATACCGGCATAGATATCCTCGTTCAGATGCAGACCTTTTTGAGCTTTCGAGATACCGCCACGAGTTGTCATGAAGATGCCGTTCAGGAAATCGGGGTGACCATAGTGAAGCTTACCACCGATCTGAGCCAGCGTACGAGCGAAAAGGGTACCGAAAGTCTGTTCTTTCCCAGCCGCGACGTCACCAAGCACGCCGATATTCTCGGAGAAAATGTATTCACGGGCACCAAGAATGGCCACGGGGTTGGTGTTCGTAGAGGGAATGCCGGGCGTGTAGGGGGAGACGTTGTCAGTAGTCAATTCCTCGAACTCGGCGAGGACACTACGGATCTTGAGACACTCTTCGAGATAGTTGTCCTGATTGGCATCGATCACTTGGATATACTCGCCACGGTAGAAGATGATCGAGTGATTCTGGTTGTCAGACTTGCCATCTCCTAAAATTGGGTTTCCAGAAAGCTGAATCCTAAACTTCGGCTTCCGCATACCGTTCTCCAACAGCTCGCAGTGTCCATCAATAAGGGCAGAGTACAGACGGGGCTCTTCACCTTCATTGACAGGGGGTTCCTCGTCCAGGTAGGCGATTTGGAGATCTGGGTAAGCCCTGAGAAGGAACTCGGTATTCTCACGCTCTTCCTTGTTGAACTTGGCGTAGCGCTGCATAGAAACGACGATCTTGAATTTGCGGCGCGCCATCCTCTCAAGCTCTCGTTCGAGCTTCTCAGAATTACCACCGAACATCTGCACGACCTCTGGATTTTCAACCCGGTACAGGAGCTTGATCGCCCTGCTGTAATTCATGAACCCGGAAACAGTGCGGTAGAGTGTCTGTGAACGCAATGAGGACCAAATACGAGTCCGAAGGGTGTACTCTGGAGCAGCGGACTTGAAACCAATGCAATAGAAAGGAAGGTCATCAATCTTGCTCTTAGCAACATCCTTTTCACTCTTCTCGGGTTCGCCATTGAACTGGGAGGTTTCATCGGCCAAAATCTTGGTGTCCTTGACGAAGCAGTCCCACTCGTGAGGATGAAGTTGTTTGAGGTACTCCAGCAGCGTCACGCGAGAGTAAGGCTCATCCTCACGGATAATCTCACGCAGGGAGAGGAGGATCTTCTCGCTGTAGTGGGGGATCAAAACGGTGAATGTAGGCATATTGTCCACAGGAAGGGGCTCGGGCATAGGGGTAGAGAGTGATTGCGCGAAGAACGAAATCCGACGCTCAGCTTCACTACCAGGCGGGAAGAACTCAGTCTTGAAAGATTGATCCTCCTGAGACACAAAGAAAGTGGGCGCACGCAGGGTCCGTTTGCCTTCTTGCTCAGAAGGAACCTGGTGGTAGAGGAGCTTCTGGACATGGTCTATGGCCAGCAGATGCTCCCGGTACATTGAGATGATGATGGCGTTCCAAACTTGAGAAATCAATACCTTAGGCTTGTACTTGATTTCCATGTCGGTGGTGGCGAGGACCTTTGAGTAAATACGCTTGGGCAGTCGGGAGAAGATGTTTCTCCAGGGCGACCAGATCGATACACCCAGGTAGAACGACCTTGCAACAGAGAAGACAGTGTTGCAAATAATGTACCAAAGGTAACTGTCCAAGAAGAAGAGCGTCAAGTCCATGAAGAACATCAAGCCGAGAAGAATCTGGGGCTGTTTGTGGCACAGAACATTCCCAATGTATTTCACACCCGCACACGCATGTATTTGCATGGGTGAGAGGATTCGAATCGGGTCCTTGAAAGACAGGGTCAGGAAGAAGTACGATTCCGCCAACTTAGCACCGAAAACGCAGACCCATAGGCCGTACGACATCCACATATCGTTGCCGTGCAGACGTGGGAAGCTTGCGGTGAATGTCTGGCTAGCCACGTACTGACGGCCATGCTTCTTCAGGTAACTGCCGAAAAGTCCGCCAAGCGGCATAACAGAGAAGAAGACGAAAGTTGCCAGCGCGACGAAAAAGTGGACAATACCAACAATCAAAGGGATGGTGCTGCTGATGCCCATGCTCTTGCTGTATGCGAAAACAAACACACCAGGACCCAGATTGATGATGAAAACCAGGAGCAGGAACATCAATCGCTTGGTGAGATGCTGAGCTCCTGCCCAGCGCCTAGGCACGTACATCCATTCACAGATAGTAGCCGCGATCTGGATGAAAGAGACCAGGGCGCCTCCGAAACCGACGGCGGACCAAATCCTATAACCAGGGGGGCTATTGTTCACTTGCTGTTGATAATTGTCGGTGTAGAGCGATTGTGCGTTGTAAGCAGTAAAGAACCAGAAAGCACCCAGGTGGATGACCCAAATACGGTTGAAGTTGGTGATCAAGTGGAACCAAGATCGTGTTTCCTTGTAGGTCTTGAAGAAAGCCTTCTTCCAGACGACATCCTTCAGCTTTGCCCATCGCTCAGCCGGAGGGATGTCAACCAGGCGCGTCTTGTCCTCGAAGACAATCCGCTCGATACCTTCTGGGTACCAGAAAAGCTGGTTCATATCATCATAACCAATGATCTGGTTATGATCGCGCTCACGACGTACGTATTTCCCATCCACGATTTCATAGCCCTGATCACGGCAATACTGGTAAAGAGGCGTGATGATCTCGTTAAGATAAGTGAATTCTTCAACAGGCTCAACTCGGTTCTGACACTCGGGCGAGTTGTAGTAGTCGTCGGCGCATTTGAAGATGAAGCAAAGACATTCGGGTAGGAACCGGACCTGGTTGGCTTCACCCCAGCAGAGCAAAAACAGTGCCAGTTGGCGAACTCTGTCATGCTGGGACATCTTATTCATCCGAGTTTTCCATCTGTACTCGGCGGCCTCCAAGCTATTGTCACCCTCCAGGGCTTCCAATGTCTCCTCAACGTTCTCCGGGTTCTGCTGGGCGGCTTTCTTGGCTGCTTTCCGCGCTTTCCTTGTCTTACGGTCGGCTTTTCCAAGCTTCATGTTGGCAAAACCCACGGCATCGTCCAAGTCCAGGTGGGCAGCGAAATACCAACGTCGGTAGTTGGCATTGTCACCTCCAATGTAGTCGGCGTGCAAGGAAAGAAGCGCCTGGTTGGGCGTCATGCGGGAAGCCCGCGAATCCAGCATCGTCATCAAGTGATCATACATGTTGCGCATGCTGTCTCGTTGGAAGCCGAACTTATTCACTAGATCGAGGAAAATGTCTTCTATCTCCTCCTTGGAGACGGGGACCTGACCATCTGACGCCCACGCAGGGTAAGGCTCTCGAGATCGCTGACCAGCGGGCAGAGCATTGCCGTAGTCCATGCCGTACACTGGGGTTGATGCTCCGGAGGACCTGTTGGCCMCATATGAGATCTGAGATGACGGTGGGCGGTACCCGTACCCACGTCCACCATACTGGCTATCGGCGTAGCTGTTGTAACGTTCGTCACCGCGGCCGTAATAGTCCATATCGGCCGCACGAGCGGTTTCAGACCTCATGGTGAAGTCACTGAATGTCTCCGAGTCTTCTTCCGAATCACCTCGGCGTCTTCCCCGATTATCGTAGCCCTGCTGGCCATTGCCCTGGTCGTAGTATTGGTCACCGTAGTAGTCGTCGTGCGGCTGACCAGCATCGTAGTATCCTCCTTCATGCTGATTGTGGTTGCCGTCCGCGCCATAGTACCCGCTATGACTGGTTAGTAAGTGTCTGCAAACCCAACGTTGGAGACATACGATCTGTCGTAGTAACCATCACCATAGTCATGGTCATAGTAAGCTTGCCCATGTTCATCTTGATAGTAGGAGTCACCATGTTCCTGATGGCCATAGCCATCATTGTAATGGCCTCCCCCTTGTTGATATCCCGACATGCTGAATGAAACTGTGGACAGCTCTGCGGCGGACGGTAGAATCTTAGCTTCTGGTGTACCTTTCGCAAAAGAGATGGAAGTTGCAATGGGAACCTTACATCAAGGACTACCCATTAAATGATTAGAAGTTAAAGACCAATCGTTCCCACAATATCAGAACATAGATCGATAACAGCTCAGCCGTTTCCAAGGGTGAATCTCGAGTCGCAGTAAACCAGACGCGTTGTGATGTATATTGACGATTCACCAGTCCCAGACCGCGCAGCCGTTTAGTAGACGATGAAACGATGGAGTATCCTTCAACCCAAGCAATGAACCAGATGACCGTTATCGACGAAGGTGATTAACGAGCGGATGTGGAAACCGAGAGGGAAGATAAGAAAGTGAAAAAGGTGAGATGGCGAAAAAAAAAAAAGTCGATACTGAGGGAAAAGCGAAGTAATCTATTGCAGAGTCGGTGCTGCAGATTTAGTCTGATGCAACAGCCCAGGCCGCAGAAAACAGGCTCCCTCTTCTTTCCTCAAACGAAAGCCAGAAAGAGGGAAGGGAGCGTTGGCCGAAGTCTTCACCAGAAAAACTTCTGCTTTCCTTCCTCTGACAGTAACAATATTAAAGAGCGAACGAACCGTCAAAACGAAAGTGGTCAGAACAGAAGGAAAATGACGAAGAGATGGACGAAGGTAGGGAGGGAAGACTTGAGTTGGACAGTAGTGAGGAAAAGGAAAAGGATTGACGACCAACTCAGGGAAAATGCTGGCGCTACGGCAATTGTGGTTATTTTGGGATCTGGATCTGCCAACTTACGGGCAACAATCAAGCACATGAGGGTGTTACCTTCCTTTACTGCTGTTTTGGCCTAAATGTACACAAAATGTATGTATGGTACCTACCAGGTAAGCACGAAGTAGGTGGGGAAGGTACTATACTGGTATCGTATGGTAACTTTAGTGATCGCTCTGTACCTAGGTACATAATGCAGGCATTGCACCATGTTTAGGGGTGTATGGTTACCTGGATCTGTATCAGGTACGATCCTGACCTGAATACAATAAATAGATCAACTTAGATGTTGCTCATCCCTTTATAATTTTGGAGAGGTTGGCAGAAATCGACCATTTATAAAGCCAGCCATCTTCTCATGGAAGAACCAGAGAGTGAGCCAAACAGCTCTGTACTGTCAGAGTCAGTAAATTTTTCAGTCTGCCTTTATCTTTCCTCAATCCCACTACTTTTAATTGTCAAATAATGCGTTGGCCTTCCAAGTTTTGAAGCCACCACCTTCTTTTCAATCACATCAAGCAGGTTGAGATTCGAAGTTTAGACAAGCTAAAGTGTAGTTATGGATTCACAGTAGCAAATGACCAGCCACCATGGCCGCCGGAACCCATGGAAGCTGATGGCGCCGGACGGCCCCTGAAACCAGACCCACTGCGTTTCTTTGAGACGCAACAATGAAACGTAATTATCCAATTTATTACCTTAATACATGGTCCGTACCCTGGTATTTTACAGAGTACGCAAAGAACTAAATTACAGCAACGTGTGGACAGCTTTTCTGAACTTTTGGTATGCAGGGATGTACTTCGCCCATTCCTGTTAATGGGTCTTGGGGCCTTCTGTTCTGCGCCAGCATATATCAGAGTGGCAACCTCATGAATGCGTCGCTATGCAGCTGCGATTGGAGACTTGAAGAAGAAAGAGCTTTGTTTATGATTATTAATGCTCTTATACCTCTCTTAGCATATGGTTGGTTATAACTGACTCTTAGAAATCAGGGATGCATTATGCTTTCACATATAGTCCCAATTACTGCAAAATTGCTGCTGCTTATGCTACATAGTGTATTGCACTAATATTGAAGCAGCGTGTCTGAATAACAAGTCAATTATTCTTATATTAATTGCTATCTTTATGAGATACGTACCTGCATTGAATTTTGTCAGGGTTCCGCCGACCATCAAACCCATCAGACTCAGCGAATTCTATGGGGTACTTGCCCCATAGTAAGATGCAAACTAAGGTACAAACTACAACTCACATACGTAGTAACTTACGTGTATGGATTGCATCGGTAGCGCCTAACCTAGGAGCTAGCCACTTTCATAGCTGAATGCAGCCATGAATAGAATTCATTCGCCACTCAAAAAGTACTACGAGTAAATATTTTATGCTTGATAGACTGCTTGGTAGATTTGTATGGTCTACGAAGTATGGAGCGCGAATAATGCCTATCAACCTTGGCAGAATAAGCAAGATTAACACTGTAACACCAAGTCTTAAGCCTAGAGAGGTGTGGTGCCACAGAAATAAGAGTCTGCCGATCTTAATGGTCCGGTGTCAGGACGGCGGCCCTCCATTATTTAAAATCAACAAGGCATCGTCAAATTTGCTGACATCTCTCTGGCGATTCCGGAAGGTACCGGTGTAAGTTCAGATATTCTAGGTTCGAAGCTCGAAAGTTAACCCCGCTGTTGGCTGACAGATTGATATCCTAAGTTCGTAGTCCATCCAAGACCGCAGTAATAGTGTACGGACGTACGAAAGCACACAAGCCTTGAGAACAGAATTATGATGCAATCGTACTACCAGTAATCAGACTTTGTGCCTCTTGTAGAACGAAACAGTTTACCGTCAACCGAGCCATATTTTCTTTCGGCGACTCTATTGAGTACTGCTAATCAATTAGATACTTTACCCGCTCCATACGGAGCAAGGACTTAATGATTCAGACCAAACTATCATAGCTTCTAGAATCCTGCCTTCTTCTGTTCCGCCTCATCTCCTTAGAAACTGTCACGACTTTTAGATATCAGATATAACCACTCGAAAATAGAACAGTCGAGATTTAACATGGTAGCTTGAGCAAATCTCATTGTACGGTCAACGATGCCAACGAGTTTCAAACTAGTGCTTAGGTTTTGAAATTAGAATCGGAGATAAGTGTACCCACACTGAGTACTCCGTTGAAAAGATTGCAATTCCACTCTATGGAGTACATACTATGGCACTATTGGTTCAAGTTCTTTAAATGATGGCCTAGACAAAGCCATCAATAATCATTATTACGCCAATTTATTTGAGTACAACCGTGTCATCCTCCTTATGCGAAGTATCGTCTCCTGAACTTCATCACTTACAATAAGAGGAATTTATTATTGCTAGGTACCTCCCCACCAGGTATGGTAAAGCGGAGATGTGTTTCCAAATATATCACAATCCCAATTGGACAATCATCTTTTGGTACCCTGATCCTGATTCCTGACATCCATGGAACCAATTACTGAGCTTTGACGTTAATTACCAGTACCACCATCTTCCTCCCGTCCTGTCCTGTAGGTATGTGTTGAACAAACCCGTTGACTACAGGACGTATGTAGTACACAGATCCCACAAGGTCTGTCATACAAAGTACTCTGTAGGTGGTTTAGGCATACAAATTAGCTACGGCAGTGGTTGGTAGATAAGGTAATAATGCATTACCTCAGGTATCACTCAGGCAAATGAAGCATGCAATATCCAAGGTATCTAATTCTGCATTAGATACAGCTCAGTCAATCATCGGCCAAGTCCACAAATACCCTGTGGCGACCGAGGAAGGGGAGCCAGGAGCTCTTGAGCAAAAAAAGGTAGATTATCCACTCAACCATTGCAGTGCTCTCCTTGCAGAATATTGTGCATTATCACTATCTCAATCTACTCAAAGAGGATCGGATGTCCTCTCCGATTTTTTAAAAAATTGCCATTTCAAAGACGCCCTCTCGAAGATTCCTTAACCCACAGGTGGATATTACGTTGCGGAAGTTTTGAGAATTTGAAGAGGACTCTTAGTCTAGTCCGAACGCCAGGTAATTACACCTCCGACTGTGGCTCAATTAGCCCGTTTCAGTATGTTGGCGTAGTAGGTACCTTTTGAGCCAATCTTCAATGTGGAAAATTAAAGTGGCTGCGAGTTATGGATCGCGAAATTGGCATAGTGGGGCCGGAGCTGATACATCAAAACCAATCAAATAATACAATCCCACTCGGGGCCAACGGTGGCAAGTAATTAAACAGCTGTGATTGAATGGCCAAACCTGGACCAGAAAGGGGGAGTTTCACCTCTCAACTCTCATCATTCAGCTCTCATCAGGGATTCGTGGTCCGCAGATGCTGGCCCCTCATCACTGACATTACTTGACGCTTTCGGAATACAACTGTGTTTACACAACTAATACACTGTCAAACAACTGGCGTCTTTAGCTGGTTAGTGACTTGTGATTGCCTTTATTCCGCTGAGTAGTCCAACCCCAATATGTTCAAGACTCAAGCTAGGCGCGACACAAGGCGTGTGTGGCGATATAAGCTTAATAATGGTTCCTTTATGTCGATTGCCGAATTTATATGTATCACAGCAGGTGGAATTCTGCTAAAGGATAAGCTTAAGGGCAGAAAACGGCGGCTTTGGCAGGTGTGAGTATGAGGTTTCGAATCTATCGCATTTATAGTCTTCAGCTCTGTAAGCATCTAAAGAGCCGGCTCCGTCTGAAGTACTCCGTACTCCCAGGGCATGAAGGAAAACTATGAGATAAAAATCATTGCCATGAGTTACATGCAATTACCCACTTAGAGGCTGGTATATGGGATGGTACTCGAGTACCATGACGAGAACCGAAAGCATGTGGAAGTCTAATTTTTGATCATCCTTTGCTTTCCGCCGACGGTGAAGCATCACACACCTACCTATCTTAGTATTACTCCCACTACTACTGATATGTTTCCTAGCATATAGCTATCCTGGGAAATCAGCGTTCCATTGATCATTTTGCGACAAGGAACGGCGGGAGACCATACTATACCTCCAAGGCATAGACATGGCACCTACTTCATATATGTAGTTCTCTTCTTCCTCCAGAACAACCACTGAAAAAGGAATTTACCAACCCACGCTCGGTACACGACGCATAAAAACGAATCTTCCTCCTCACTGGCTTTGTAGGCAACACATCGCTGAGTGGCCGATC